GCTAAAGGGAAATTGCTTGCCGGGACCCCGAAAAACACCGAAAAAAAAAAAAAAAAAAAAAAAAAAAAATCTACCTCTAGCAGGCAAATTCAAACCCTTTGCACCAGCAGCTCCATCCAAACTAGCTGAGCAATCACTGCTCAGGTTTTCATGGCCACAAGTCCTGTAGGGCCTTCGGCTGGTTCCTCTGTGGCAACAAATGCTCCTGCTGTCACCCGGGGGCCTGGGGACACTGAGGGGACATTGCCTACGGACAGCAGTGGGACGGGGTTTTGTACTCAGGACGGTAGGACCGGCTCCAGGGGCTGGTGGACCTTTCCTGGGCGTGTGGGACCTCCCAGGCATCGCTGATCATGTCCGCCTGGAGCGGTCCCAGGGCAGGACAGTGCACCTAGGACTGACGGACGGTGCCTGGACATCGGAGTCCCTTGGAGGCTCTCAGCAGCCTTCTAGCCTGAGGGGCATTGGCAGACATGTTTTTCCTACTGCTCCTTTATTTTCTCCTCTTCCATATTTATGTTGTTTGTTTCTTTAAGGCAGCTTTGTGAATTTTTTGTCATGCTTTGTTGCTGGCTTACTTTTTTTCCCCCCAAATCTTCACTGCGGCACCAGCAGCTTTTCCTTTCAGGCCTTGCAGGTGGTGTAAGGGGGCCGGGCTGCTGCCAGGTAAGCTCCTGGGCAAGCTGAGCGCAGCAGCTCAGCCCCGTCCTGCATCCTTCTCCCTCGGCAGTTCCACCCCTCTCCCCGTCTCCATGCGCCCCAACCGTGCTGCTGATCTGCTGTGACCCAGGTTTGCCACCTTTATGTTGCAGGATTGAGCTGACCTCTGATCTCACATCTCTGTAGCAAGTACCTTAGGTCCTCAGCCACAAATATTCTTGCAAATCTTTTTGGTAAGGACACGCTGTTTCTTAGAAGTAGTGGTACCATTGATAACATCTGCTAATGTGTTTTTTTTTGCTTTTGGGTCTCATTTTCTGGGGGAGGGCTTGTTTCTGAGCTGCAGTTGACTGCCTGTCCCACCTCCCTCCCCACGTTCCTCCCCCTTCCCTCCTCATAACAGATTAATGAGTCCGCTCCCCTCTGCCTCCATCTCGCTTCCCATCAGCGCTTCGGGGGGAACGGGGGCTCTCACGTTTGGATGCTCACCTCTTCCATCTTGGATGCCTGGAGCTGGACATCCCACCACCACTTCTGTTTCCTGATTTGGAAAATTAGGGCTGCTGAGTGAGTGGGTAATTAGTCCTAAGGTGTGTTGCCAAAGCTGAGACAGGCTTAGTCTTTGCTTTTAGCCCTGTCAGCTCTCCAGTTTTCCCATGGACCAACAGGTTCCCATATGAAGCAGCCTGTAAGCAACATCCCCAAAAATGCAGGTGGGTCCCCCAGCCCCCCTGGAGGCTACTTGTTGTGGTGCTCAGGAGTCCATGAGTCTTAATTTAGGGACCCCTGATTTTGGAGGTGCCTTTGAAAGAATTACTTGCCTTTTCCAGGAAGAGCTATAGGACTTCAGACAGGAGAGGACAGGCATGCAGTAGATTGGGTTATTTAACCAAAGCCCCACTTCTGCTCTAACCCGCATCACTCCAGAAGCTGTGGTTGTCTTGCCTAGTATTCACTTGAGTCTTGCGGCTTCAAACTGGTGCTAAATCTGGACTAAAAGGGGAAGGAATGTGACCTTTACTGAGCAATGCAACTTCCTGCCTCTGGTTACTTCAGTCTTAAAAAATAGAGGGACTTCTCGGTAGTTGGGAAATACATCTGTTCGGGTGGTGGCTGTGCTTGATCACACCTGGTGGGTCACCAGTACTTCTAGAACAGAAGCACGTAGTGTTTGCTCCCCTGGGGGAGAAAAATACTCTGGGCAGGAAGGGGAAGAGTGCAGGGGAAGGATGCAGCCCTTAGTCTAGCCAGCACAGTGTATTTCCCAAATCCTTCTCTTCTGCACCTGAGGCTTTTGGCCATCTGTTGCCAACTGGAGCTGCCGTGGTGCAAAGCACTAGTTCAGGGTGAGACACACGACTCGTAGCGGGGCAGCTTGCCCCCGTTCAGACAGGGCTGAGTTGCGTAGGCATGAGAGACAGCCCACAAGGGCTGACTGTTAGGTGTTGCTGTCCTGGCAGATGAGGGAAGAAGAGGAAGGGCTCCCCACTGTGCCTTCAGGGGCTGGCTCGCATGGGTGGATTGAAGTGGTCTCTGCCAGCTGCTTTTCAAACCTCTCTCGAGGTTGAAAGAGGTTAGTGGGTTTTTTTTGCAGTTAGAAAGGAGTATGACCAGGATTGTGTTGACCATTGACAGCTGCAACAAGGCTCCACTCAAGGTAAAAGAGAAAACAGTCAGGAGAACCAACTCCCCTGGGTCTCTGCTTTCAGTTCTCTCTTTCCATGCGGCAGAGCAGGTCCCAGCCAAGTCTTGGTCGGTCTCGGTGATGCCTGAGGGGTTGAGCTGTCTGTGCTCTGTCCTTGCCACTCTTCGCTAGGTGTGTTGGCTGGAGAAAGGAGAGCAGATCCCACGTTGACGGTCTGTGGAAAGGGCTCTCCTCTCTGTCCTCTCTCGTGTTCTGGGGGTGGCGAGCCAGAAGCTGCCCCATGGGGCTCAGCCGGGGCACCCTTGCAGACCCCATGAGCAGGGTCTGAGTGAATGGCACCAAGCTGCTCAGACACACTCTGCTGTTTGCTGATGCACTTGTGGATGGAGCAGGTGATTCCCCAGACCACAGTCTGGCCTCTGTAAGACTGAGAAGAAGGTAGGGATGGCTTCCCAGTTTCCTTGGCTAATGGGCTCAGTTCCCACAGCCGGGTGACCCATTCCAGGAGCAAATTCTCCTCCTGCCTCCCAATCCTCTCCTCTCATCTCCTGCCCAGCCATGGGTGAGTTGAGAAGACACTACTTGAATCCAGGCTAGACTTAACCCTAGGGCTCAACTGCAAGCTGGAATTCATGCAAGGGGAACTGGATAGCTGTAAGTCTCACACGCAGGCCTTTTCTTGGTGGTAGTTTAGCAATGGAAACCTGTCTCCTCCCCAGCTGGGTTCAGGGTACTTCTTGGTTGTGAAGCACTG